AGCCCCGGCCACCTGATGCCAGATTTCTGTATGTGCTCGGCTAATTTTGCGGCACGCACACTTGGCTTATTCCCAATGAGCATTGAACGGTGTCGGATAGAAACAACAGCACCGATATATGCAGCGACAGTTGGCTTAGTCGGACAAAAAACTTTGTGCGCGTAATAAATTGATAAATAGTCCAACGCATACATGTGTCCCCAAAAGGGTGTGGTTTGCAGGGGGAAGTGCATCTCTGTGCAGCTGCCAAGTGTGCAACAGTTTTCGATTGCCCCTCGCTGGCAAGCGGGCTGAAAAATGGTGCATACTTCTGGGCGGGGGAAGTTGAAATACGGCGTTGGGTTCGGATTATAATCGATTTGATTGTATCTTTGATGCTTCAAGGAATCTAAATATCTTCAAGATTGCACAAGCTGTTTTTGAATCGTATTTGGCATTGATTCGAGTTATAATCGATTTGATTGTACATTTGCTGCTTCAAGAAAGATTCCCTGACATAAATATCTATAAGATCGTACAAACTCCTTAGACTCGTATTTTCTGTGGCGGAGAAGTTGAAATATGTCTTTGGATTCGGATTATAATCGATTTGATTGTATCTTCGGTGCTTCAAGGAATCTAAATATCTTGAAGACCGTACAAACTATTTTTAAATTGTATTTTGTATAATGGGAAGTTGAAATATGATGTTGGATTTGGATTATAATCGATTATAATATTTGTATCTTTGCTGCTCCAAGAAATCGAAGTATGTACAAGATCGCACAAACTATTTTTGAATCGTATTTGAAACGTAGTGCGTGTGTTATCCGGCTTTAAACCAAGTCTGTTAAATTGAAAATATATTTGTTTAGTTTCCCTAACGAATAAACTTATAACTTGAAGCCTGATCTGCATTTAATGGATTAGGTCATGTTGGCTACTTTTAAGATACTTGAACCCTAACGAATTAACTTATAACTTGAAGCCTGATCTGCATTTTATGGATTAGGTCATGTTGGCTACTTTTAAGATACTTGTGCCCTATAGTGATAGTTATCTTAGCAATTTCATTGACAGGCATCTAACATATTTGTAAAAATCTTGTTTCTCAAGCAAGCAAAGCTGGCCCTCAAGCATGGTCCACACCGATGCACTGCTGTACTTATGTCCCCCGTAATGGATCTTTGTAGTCCCAGCCAAAGACGACTCTATCAAACAGCGCAGTCAATCAAAAGTAAACATTTCAAGCCCAACTTCTGGAGAACTCCACCATTTCAGCATAATTCACGCGAATTCATCCGTCTGTTGTCTTTCGATTATGTCGCATTGTCTTGGCTTAAAGTTTTTCGGGCCCAACGGCCACCGGCAGGACAGCATCCAGGCAAACCGAACCGAGATGGCCGGCAACTCGGATGTTGCCTGGAAATATTACAGCGATTCCTACTTATGCCTCAATTCGTTTGCCTTGTCACGGCGAGTGCACAAAGAGGAGTTGAGTTCGAGGATGGTTGGCTGGGTGGCGGGATGGCTGGGAGGACCACCCGGGCGACATGACAAAGGGGCGCAAAAGGACACCCGGCGCATCCTCGGACCCGTGCATCACAAAACATGACATGGCACGAGCCATTCCGTTTGTTTTTTCTATTCCCATTTTACAGCTGTCCATCCGTCCGTTGGCCAAACAAATTTTTCTCTGTTTTTCGCTGCGATCCCTGAGTAAAATATTATGTTACCCAGCGACAAAGAAGGCGGAAACTTTGCTCTCGGCTAAAACGAAATGAAAGGGCGGCTAAAAACGTATTTAAGTGCAATTTCCATAAGCAAATTTCCCGGTTATGCATATGCAACAAGCCGCACACAACACAAGCAATTCATTAAGCGCACGCGGCGGTGGCAAATAGAAAATTACTGACAAAACACTGGCCGACAGTTTACGAGCCGCAGACACTGAACGTCGAATGGCAGGAGCATATTTACAACTTTCAAATGCTTCATTTTATTGGTCTCGAAATGAACAAATGGAGCACGGGACGGACGCTGCTCCTCCGGTGGCTGGGAAAAAATTTTGCATAATTTATGTGGGTGCCGCGCACACGAAGGACCCGAAGGATTCGAAGGATCCGAAAGAAAAACAACGCACGAGCACACGGCCAACTGATTTAAATGCAATTGCACTGAAGTATGTTGTCGGAAGCGGAGGCGAACCGGGGGCTATAGAGACATCTGCACGTGCAACCGGAAACATCCGGAGACCAGGCCTTGGCCGGGCAATTTCTTTTCATTTGCCAAGGTGCTGAGTTGCACCGACACCAGCGTGGCCAGAAGCCAGCAGAAGCTAACACCGCCTTGCGGCAATGGCTCGGTCACAAGTGTCGTCTATTTGTCGCCGGGCGTGGACTCCTGCTCCTGCCTTCCTGGCCATCCTGCGCGTCCTGGCGACCTGGGCGTCCTCGGCTGGCCAAGACAAACAGCCAACGAATTTAGTGTATTTTGTGCATTTTAAAATTGTCCAAATTTATGTGACACGCTGCGCCAATTGATCAGATTAAATAAACATGAGGGCAAACGAATCGAATTTGACTGTGGCCGAAGACAATGTATGCGGCAGTCTGTATTTAAATGGGTGCACGAGGAAATGGGTGGTACAGTGGCGCCTGACTAAGGCAGACAGCAGGGGAAGTCGGTGATGCATAACGGTATATATGTTTATAAATTTACAAAATCATATCTGAATATAGTCTTAAATAATTTCTAATGAAGAGAGTTTATAAATACCTTTAGATTTCAGGCATAAAAGCTCAAAACTTTTAAGCATTTCATAAATTAAACATAATTATAAAAGTACACTTAGAAAAAAATCCACTGATATCCTTAAACCAGCATTCTTAATTTAAGAAAAATGTTGGGCGAAATTAAGTATGAAATGTTCTTGAACTTATTTTATTATGCTAAAACTAAGCCGTTTTTATACTTACGAAACATTTTTGTGAAATGCCATACCTCTTCTAGGATTCGATCCCGCAACGTCACGGCACTACAGGCGGATGTCCTACAGACGTATTTTCAATTTCATAATTAGTTTAGGTACAAAAAGTACTTGTCTTGAGAATTTAATTCTTAATAGTTAATAGTTACTCTAGAATGTTTGTGAACGAAATGGAAATATATTTTTAGATGTTTGTTTACTTAAGTAAAGTGCAATTTCTTCTACTAATAAGATTAATTTCTTCCTTATTAATTTATATAAAAACCCGTTTTTTCTGAATTTAAGTACTTTCAGTAATTAATTTAAGAATGTTTGTGCATACAAATAAGCATGTTCATTTTTAAAATATTTAAATTTAGAATGCGATGAATATATGATCTAAAAAGTGCGAAAATGACCGCAATTTTAATCGCTATAGCGGAAACGTTAGCCTTATCTCTATGTTAACCATATTCTTTGCCAGAAAGACTTTAGATTTCATGGTTGCAAAATCTACATGTGAGTTTCACTTATTTCATATATACTGCATTTGAAAGCCACACAAATAGTAACACGAGACTGCCAGAAATAGGATGTACTCAAGGTGCATCTACTTTGTCGCTAAGGAAGTCCGACAGTTTCAACTTGATGAAACTAAACACATGTGGAAGAACACATACAGTTGTTATTCTTGTCATATTCTAGTGCCCATTTCACATATAATAACAGCAATGCATAGTACACGAGAGTTAAACGAGTTATTAAAGCTCTTCCAAATAAACGATCATATATTCCATGGGAAAGGTAGATTGACAGATTATGTAGTTGCTTAATGGACGCCTATTGCTGTGGGTCAGTGCAACAACTGATTCAGAAATTCCCGATCGCACTCCCATGGCAGGTCGGATTGTGACGTTTGGGAAATTCTGTGCGATCGCTGTAAACAAGCTCACCCAGATGCTAATTTGATAGCTGTGTACTCGCTAGCTATAAATACTGACATCTGCTGGACTGCAGGCAGTTGAAGCTGCGCTTTGGAACTGGTCAAAATGAATTCGTTCGGATTAATTGCACTTGCTGTTTGTGGAGTGGTCTGCGTTGGTGAGACACTTGAAATATAACGTTTTAAATAAAGGTAACATGAAACAATATAATGCTTTCAGTTGCGGAACCGCAACAAACCTATGACGGTCGTGACGGTCCCCATGTCTTTGGCACCCCGGGTAATCAGGTCTATATAAGGGGTCAAAACGAAGGCACCTACATCGTGCCTGGAGTGGGTGGCCAGTTTGAAAACGCTCCTCGACGGGGCGAGCATGTGTACACCGATGAGCTGGGGAACACATTCGTAAACCGCAAGAACGCTGGTGGTCCAGGTATAGTCCAGAACTTATACAGGTTCCTAAGGCTCATTCTAATAACTGAAAAATGTAAAATCTTAGCTTCCCACACAATCAGTGGTCCTAGTTTCTCAGCCCAGAACTTGGGTTCCGCCAGTCAGAATGGTCCCAATGCAGCAGTTCCACCACGTCCTCGACGCAGTCCTCAGTTTCATGTAGAGCGCCCGGATCGCACTGTTGACTTTGGAGACGGAGGTTTCAGCATTCAGCGCAGCCGCCGTAGTCCCCAGCTTCACGTGGCGCGACCAGATCGCACCGTAACTGTTGGTAACGGTGGAGTCTACATTCAACGCGGCCGCCGCAGCCCGCAGTTCCACGTAGAACGCCCGGATCGCACTGTAGATTTCGGCAATGGCGGCTTCTCCGTTCAACGCTTTCGCCGTGGAATCAACGATGCCCGCGTCCAGGGTGAAAACTTTGTGGCCCGTGATAACCAGGCTGGTATCTGGGACAACAATGTTTCTGTTTGGAAGCGACCCGACGGTCGCACAGTTACAGTCGATAGGAACGGAAACGCCATTGTGTCCGGACGGGGACGTCCTGCCCAGCGTGTAAGTAATCTTGATTACCAAGCCGTGTTCTCAACTAACGTATTGATTTTTGCAGTACTCCTAAAATGGTTCCAAATAAGCAACACTTTAGACTATATGATATAAATATTCTGAGACTATGTAAATAGGTACTTAAATCACATGATTTGAATACAAAAACTATCCAAAAACTATATCGCTATGCGAACACGAATTTGGTTTGGGTTGCACTTGTGACTGCAAGTTTGGTTAAAAAGGAGTAGTATTCACACAGAGTGAACATAATGAATATCTAAAGAAAACACGAGTGTCCGGAGCACTGGGTGAGATTCCTTAGTCGCAACGAATACAAAGCTCGTTCTATTGGCAGCAGATCGTAGGCTATGTTCGTCATTTGAAAAGGATCCAATTGCAGGTCATAAGCCTCCAAATAGTTCTAAAATGTAGCATAGGATTTAGACATTGGAAGTGGTTTAATAAACTGCCACTTTACCTCATTATCCCGGAACTCGCAGTAAATCCGATCCTCCCGGTGACGAATATTTCTCAGGCAAGCGTAGGTGTTGTTCCACGAGTCCTGGCAATGGCAATCCGCCACTGGCGTGCACTGCGCCAATCGATCTTGCTCCGACCAAGGGCATTCGGGATTGTAGGTGGCAACAGTTCCCTCGCCCCAGTATTCGACTAGCAGGGAGCGTTCGAAAAATGGGATTTTCCGCTCTTTGTTAATCAGAATCTCGTGGAACGATTGCCCATCCATGTAGGCGGGTGTGTTGACGTTGGCCCAGGCCAATATCGTAGGCGCCAGGTCCACCAAGCTGACGGCCGTGTCAATATGGCTCTCAGGTGCGATTCCCGGTCCCCGGACTAGAAGCGGTATGCCAATATCCGTTTCGTAGGGCTGGCGCTTGTCGAACGGCTGTGCGAACTGTCCCACGTGGTAGCCATTGTCCGACGTGTAAATGATGTAGGTGTTGTCCAGGGATTGAGTCTCGTTTAGCACGCCCACCAAGGTGGCCACTAGCTCGTCCACCGCCAGCAGCGACTCCCAGCGCTTCTGAAAGTACTTGTCAATAGTGTCGATCGTTTCGTTGGGCAGACTTCGCGATGCTCTAACCAACCAGTGCTTATCTGCAAGGGTTATACGTATTTTTCTATAGAGTTTTGGTATTGATAGGGCACTTACCTGTCTTAACTTGGTTAAAACTGGGCGTGCGCAGGGCTTTTACATGGGAGAACACGCCCTCGTGTCGCGGGGCTGGAGTAAAGGGCTCGTGGGCTGCCGGTGGAGCCACCATGGCGAAGAAGGGTTCAACATTTCCAGGAGATACTGTGGCATTTCTAAGGAAATCAGCAGCACGGTCCCTTAGCAGATCGGTCAGGTAGGAGGACTCGTAGTGCACGTTCCCGGAATTCTCACGCAGCGTGTAATTGTAGTACCGGGAGTTTCCGTGAAGGCCATAGAAGTGGTTCCATCCCTCCGGTACATCGCCGGCGCCCCAGTACTGATTCAGGTACTTTCCTCCGAAGAAGGTGTTGTAGCCGTGCTGCTGCAGGATGTGCGGCAGAGCTCGGGGCTCCAGTACCCTCCGCCAGTGCGGACCGTAGCAGCCACCACTCACGGAATTGTTGCGGGTGCCGTGATTGTGCGCATACATTCCAGTGAGCAGACTCGTCCGCGCAGGGCAGCAAATGGGCGTGGGCGTGAAGGCGTTGTGGAACAGGGCACCCCCGAAACCCAGCAGCTGGATCGTCTGCTCCATGGGAAACATCCCGCGTAGCTCCACATCCTGATCGTCGGACAGGATCAACAGGATGTTGGGTAACTTCTCGGCGGCGACATTTCCCAGGCACGCGAGGATTAGAGCGAACAGGGGGGTTAGGCCGATCTGTAAGGACCGGCGACTTAGAAGCTTGTTTGGATATATCTTATCGTTACTCACCATGGAGCAGATCCCAGTTTCTTTTGTTTACATAAAATGTATGCGATAACAATCAAGCCCGGCTCTAGGTTTTAGGGCTGCAAAAAACACTGGTGATCTTCTAGTGTTGCAAAATGTGTGGTGGTTTCAAAAAGGAGGCCACTACGCACGTCTGAATAAAATAACACATTTTGGGTAATCTCAAACTGTTAAATTTAATCACTAAAGGGAGCTTTGATTAATTGGTTTGATTTTTATTCTATTTTTCCTTGCTACCTCTAGTTTTGAGAAAAGTAAGCTGTGCAAGTACGGAAGCACATTCAAAATCATAATCATGTTAATTAGCTTCGAAATGAACGCCTACTTATTTAAAAAGCGAGAAAATGTTTGGTGCTGCCACAAGTTTCAAATTATTTTGCGTCCCGTGCTGCCATATGTCTGAAACTATTTTGCTGCCAAGTTGCCAGACCACCCAAAAACAGTTAAATGGCACACCCAAACTTTTGTGTGTACACACTGTAACAGTCGACAAATTTCAGTTGGCGCCAAGTATAAATATTCAAAAACCGTCAGTTAGTTTTCACAGCAACATTTTATTTCCAGCCGTATTAAAAGCCAAGAGTCACGTACGAGAAATATGATTTATTTCCTTTTAATATCAGCGGTTTAGTGACCGAAAAATACAGAATCTTTGCCGACATCAATATGTTTTTGAAATTCACAATAATGTAATGCATATTGTAGGTACAAATGTTTACAGTTTACTTAGAGATAGACTTTTAAAAAAGAATGCAAGTCTGTATCCGTATCACAAAGCAGCGCCAAGGACAAGGACAGATACGAAAGACCGAACTTTAGCCTCTTAAATATGTTTTCGCGATCTTACAAAATAAATAACAGCAAAGACAGATAACTTATATGCGCAATAATCAATGTTGTGTGGCTACTACGAAATGTTTTCCGGTTACTGCAAGTGTAAGACACATAGAGAATAAATGTGACGAGTGTTTTTGGCCTACCAGAAGAGTGCTCTGATCTGATAAATCTAGATACCAGGTGAAATCTAAGTGTTGACGTTGCTCCTTTCGGATTCCTATATACATGTGCACCGTGAGATCCGTAGTCCCAGCATTTCCGGTTTAGTTTCCCTCGGGCTTTGGCAGATTCGTATCATAAGCACGTATAATGATAGACTGCGGCACAGCTCCGCCCTCCTCCTGGGAAAATGCATAGCCATCTGGGAAGGAAGACACAGTCAGTACAATCTCAAAGACTCGTTATCACAATGTTATGTGTGGTATCTGTAATGTGTGATTGTGGACCCAGTGTCTCAAAGTTCTCCCGCTAAAAGAGCCCCTAGGAGGGGATGCACCCGATCCCCGGAGGCGAACCTACTGCTCTAGGAGTCTGCCTCTAATGGCTTGGTTCCTGGAACTGAGTGGTACTCACGCGATAGCTCGAGATCCGTTTCGACTCTCGTGTTGGCACGACGGGTAAAGACATTACGTAGCAGCCGGGCCGTTTCCGTGAATCTGTTGGGTTAATTTTTGAGCGGGTCGGTTATAGTTTAGTAAGGGTTTCAATTTCGTGGGGCGCTTATTAAGTTAACGGGTGGGTTTCCATTTTGAATTGTTAGCACTTTACGCAGTTCTTGCAGTTACAAGGTCGATCCGAATTCTACGGAATGGAGACTTTCTGGGGCTTGGGCAGAGGAGCATACATATGTATAATCAAATCAGGATGAGAAACGAGGTGTGTACAGGTGTGTACCAAGTTGAAGGGGCATGCAGAATACGTAATAAATGGGGTAGGCCTACATACTTTAAATATGGCAAATAAAAGGAATACGATGCGGTTCTGGAGATAAATTACAACGAATCTTTGACGCTACAGAAATCATAAGTTCGTACCATAAAGTGTTAAAGGTATACAAGTTTGAGGTCCTATTTGCCCCTACATCTCCGTCCTGCGAGGGAGAACACATTATAAACAAACCCTGTGACTGGGTGATGTGACATAGTGGGTGTGTGGATGTATCGTGTTGTGTAGTTATGAATTTTCAGCTTTTCTACGATTTACTTACACCGAATTATCGATCCCAAGGCATACATGGTACTGCGCACACAGACATTTACGCGGAAAACGTTCAGAGAAATTTCAAATAAACATTTTTCAGAATTTTGCTGTTGACTCTTTGACTTTTATTAAATTATATATTGATTAGTTATTGTTGGGTGTGTTTGGGTTCTGCGAGTAGGTGTTGGGTGTGATTGGTTAAGTCGCTTTGTTGGGTGTCGAGTAATACAAAATAAAACAGGTACATTCAACATAAGTGCAGGGCGTATCGGATCGGATCGTATTCAGATCGGATTAAAACAATCAGCAGCCATAGAGTTAGTATATATCATTGGCCGAATTAAGTTGCATGCGAGCTGGGTGGACGGTGCGGGATACATATATTCAAAACTGATACATACATATCATCTGGGTACCATCACATTCCAATAACGTTGGGATGAATATGTATATCGGTTGGTTATAGATTGTTAAGTAGGATCGAACGGGGTATTCGTGACTGGGTTCGTTAACGTTTTTACAACCTGACAAGTCTCTTAAAGTAAAAGTTACACATCCAGCTAATACATAAATAGGAGTATAAGTACGTAAAGTAACTCAGGAATGATGATAACAGGGCTCACAAAAACATTTCCTGATTATTGGCCTATCCTACGTGCCTAACCACCTGGCTACTCCTTAGACACTATCACAGTTGGCAATAGTTTGTTAGCACATACAGTATGCGATGTAAAAGGATGCGCTCACAAGGCCTAGCATATACACATGGAAATACGATATGAGTTCGACAGTTCTTAGGAGGTACTCGATGCGAAAGTGGGAAATAGTCCCCTTCGGAATGCATTTTACAATACTATACAATGCACACTTATCAGATACGTATTAACACTAGTAAAATAACTCGATTTGCTTTGCCTTTAACGCGGGTTGGGTCCCTCACATGTGCAGGGTGGCCGTGGTGGGTGAAGTGGCGCTGGTCCTGGCACTCCGAGTGGCGGCGAAGGTCATCTGGCCTCCCCGCCACTTCTGCCGCTGCCGGCTGCGCTGCTGCTGCTCCGTGTCCACCTCCAGCTCCAGGTTCTCCACCCGCAGGTTCGACTCCACACTGGACCTCGACTCCAGGTTGGTGCGATGGTCATGGGAGATTAGCGCGTGGCTGGATCGTATCAGCTTGCCGAGGGCGTATCCGAAACCGGAGTCACTAATGCGTCGCATGGGTGCAGGGATTTGAATGGGGTATGGATCGATTGAATGCATGGATTGGGATTGAAGGGGATACCATCGCCGTCGGGGGTTGATGGAGGATAGAGGAAGACAGAGAGATTACATTTTAGGGATTTCAATTCATTAGATATGTACTTGCTCATGGTGATGCAGTCGAACACTGAGAAAGTCTGATTTGGATTGATGCTGGCTGTTTTGTCTTAGCTCAATTAAATTGTGTTTGTTTCATTAAAGGCGCCGATTTTATTCAATGACACAGCTAGGCGAGATAGCCTCAACACAGCCGATTGTAAATTCATTTTAAATTTTAGTTGCATTCAAAATTGCTACAAAATGCGTATCAAACTAGGGTAAATACATAACATTTAGATCTAAGGTTCAGTTTTAACTCGTATTTAACAGTATCTAGTTGTGCGATGTTCATGATAGGCATTTAAGAGGTTACATATGAATTTACACTGAGTGGATAACACATGACGAGAAGAGAAAGTGTTTAACAACTTAACTTACTCTAGTCTCTAATACTATTTACACATTTATCTGCTAATACTATGTAAGTTTTCCTTGTCTGAGTTATATTTCCTTATCGATACGGATCCTGGTAGGGAACACTTGGGGTTCCTTCTAGTTTTTCTTTGTGCGTTCACTTTTAAGTATATTTGGAGCAATTTTCGGTGGCCAATATTCAAGAAGTACTTTGGTTCTACGTAATAAGCACTAACATACATCGTAAGTTCAACAAACACAATTCGAGGAGGTGGTAGTGCGATAACGGAATGATTGGATTAAGTAAATGGAGTATGACCCAAACAAACGCTAGATAACAACTAAGATAGGTTTCGATATTGGTGCAACGACTACAAGAAGCGGGATACTGAGTGCAGGCACATATGTTCAATCAGCCTTGTTTCTGGTTGGAAGGATGGGGTTGTAGAAATATCAACGTCTTAAGGGTCTAGTTAATATTCAGCAAATGCGCAACAATTCAAATTGAAAGTATAGTTTGGATTTGTTTTGGACAAACAAAACTAAATACATATGAAGGTATGTAGGGACCCTCCGGCCCGGAGGAAAAGCGTACTACGGGGTCTGGGAGGCGATTGCTTCGATACTTACGAAGATCGCGGCTCGTTCATCACTTCGGAGATGTCGCTGCGTCGGATCTCCGTCTCGCGAACAGCCTCTGTGAGTGTCTTGAACACGGTGTTGTGCACCCTGGAATAGAACCGCAGGAATAAGTGGTGTGCACTGTAGGAAGCCTCCTTCACTCACAGTTTGCATATTACGTCGATCAGCAGCGTGGTTATGGGCACCAGCATCAGGCAGAAGTAGAAAACTGGCGTCGAGAGCAACTGGATGTCCATGCCGCGGAAGTTGCTGGCAAACTTGAACGTCGGCCACACGTGGCTGTAGATCAGCAGGAAACTGAACCACAGGACTATTGAGCCCCAGATGGCCAGGTGGGTCAGCCAGGTCCACGAGTTCGTTATGAGTCCGGCCTTCAGACAAACTGTGACAATCACGTACTGAAAAAGCAGGAAGTAAGCTTTACTGAGATCCAAAGCGAGTGAGCACATGCAGATGGCTCACCGTGTAGACTAGGTTGCCCATCATCAGGTAATCACTGGTCTTGCCATCGCCCCAGATGGCCTCCCCCGTGTAGGCCGCCAACGGCAGCCAGAAGAGGAACACCGAGTGGAGCAGGGCATTGAATATCCATATCCAGAAGACCTTCACATTGAAGAGCTTCGCGTTCTGCGATGTTTTGTAGAGCATCGGATACCGGAGCATCGTCTCCGCCGTGCAGAACTTCTCGAATAGTCCCATCGCGAACGGCGGCATGG